CTTTACCTTCGTCGTAGAGACCGACACTACTACTACGTACGTAACGATACTACGTAGTACGTAAGTAAGTAAGTACGAGTGTGTGTCGTGTGTGTGTGTCTGTATGTCCTCTCTCTCTCTCTCTCTCTCTCTCTCTCTCTCTCTCTCTCTCTCTCTTAGGTTAGTGTATGCACAAGCCACATAATCTCTCTGTATGTGTGTGTATGCGTGTGTTAGATTTATCCCTTCTCTCTCTCTCTCTCACACAGAGTTAATATATGCAAAGTCACAAAACAAAAAAAACATAAAAGTAGGCAGGACCTACCCGAGTCCCTAAAACCTTGGGCGAGTATATGTGTGTGTTATAGATCGCTCTCTCCTTCAGAGTTAGTATATGCACAAGCCGCAGAAAATACGAAGAATATAAAAGAAGGCAGAACCTACAGTCTCACTAAAACGAGTCTAATATTTTACTTAAACTGAAAATGTGTAGAACAGGGGTATATTTGGAATTTTGGTATTGTTTTAGGGGTATTTTAAAGTATTAGTGTTTACTTAGATCTCCAGTTAAATTAGGGTTTCATAGGCTTATAAAAGGTTGGATGTATAGTTTGAGGGGAGATGTTATTGGAATAAATTTATTTTATCAAAAAAGAAAGTTCTTCTTCTCTTGGCTTGATTTACAGCCATGTTCTTTCTCTCCTCTTGCTGATTTTACTTGTTTAAGATTAAGGAGAACGGTAGATTCAATTTCCCACCTTTTCTTCCTGTATCAATATGTTATGTTTTTCCTTTTCAATTTTCTTGTCTGGATTGTCTTGATACCTTTTAAATCCCTATTTTCTTCTTGAGAGAGAGGAATTCTCTTTTGTTCTTTTTTTTCTGCTCCATAATCTGTATCATTTGTCTGCAATTTTATATGCCTGAACCAATTTGGTTATTGTTTTGTTTGCTTGTTTGTTTTATTTATTCTTTTTTTTTTTACAAGATGATACAGATGGAAGATAATTTTTTACAGGGATTCCAGAAACTGATGGTTCTTAATGTTCACTAACAAGGATACAATGGGTAACTGAAGCAAATCATTAAAAAATATGATTTAATGAGTTTACAGCTTCATGCTAGAAATTCAAAGAATCAAGGAAGGATGATGTTTCAAATAGATTTATTTTAATTAGTTGTTTATACCATATCATGGATCAAAGACAAATTTGGTTGGTTGATCTTATTTTTCAGACTTCAATCTGATAAGAAAGGAATTTCTCTTCACCTTTTTTTATTTTTGGCAGCATTACGAGCCACTTTTGCAAGTAAAATAGTCAATTTATATAACCTGAAATACCTTGTGATTTAAGCATAGCATCTTTTTGTTTCTTTCAATGAGTTCAGATGGTTTCGTTAAAGAGCCTTTCTGCCTATGTCAGTGCACTTTATGATGAGTGTGTGAACCAAAAGTATTACAACATTAATTTTAATTAAATGAAAGAATCAAGTATTCCATATTTTTGTGTTATTATATATCAAAAGAGTAATTGCATTGACATGTCACTTCAAATAATTCAAGTTATCAGATCGATATTGGCTCAGTATATTATGGATGAGGATTTGGTGCCTTCTCTTAACTTAGTAGTGGTTTGAGACATGGCACCTTTGTAGCTGTTGAATTATTACATCTGAGGCACGTCCATCGATGCAAGTCTTTTGAAACTTGTTACATTGTCATTGTTCACTATAGAGGGAAGGAGTTACTTGTTAAATTCCTGTTCCTGCAGTAGTCTTACAAGTTAACTCTAGCCAGTAGAATAACCTAATGATGTGGCATCATACCCATATAAATAAATCATACACTGAAATTGTGGATGGAGATTGGGTTTGAAGTGTTCCAACAATGAAGAGCATAAGCATGCGAGCATTGAGTATGGATAGATCATGAATAATTTTTTTTATTATTCATCATCTTGATATTTACTCTATTTTGCATACTGGATAAAAAGATAATTATCTGAATTGACTTTGATTTGGAGGCATTTGATTTCTGCACTTTGAGGTTCTTATATAAGAAAATGGTTTGATAAGGCCGCAGCAGTGCAGCCCTATCAAAATAAGTAAAGCCTCACCTCATAATTCATCAAAAATTACAATTCAAGCATTGGAAAACCTTTACATCCATCATCTCAGCTTGAACAAATTAGTTGTGAGAAAAAATAGGATTTTAAGCTCTAAAAATATGTATATTGTAACGAATTATATAGATCGTCCATTTCACCCTAAAACTAAGTGTTCATAGATCTGCAAGATCTGTACCATTACTTGAGTTTCAAATTTTATTATCAGTATTGAAAAGATCCATCATTGAGATTTCCATTGCCAAAAGTGCTTTCCAGACGAGGATTTGAGGTGAGGCTTTATTTTGTTTTCATAAAGCCTAGGCCCTATAGAAACTTCATTCTCTTATATGACTGATTTAGGTGATTATGGTTTTTCATTCTATTTTCCTTTTTCATTTCTTTGAATAGTGATTTGCGCGCTAAAGCTAGTTTTTGGAATTGGGTTTAGCTTTTGATATGGAAACTCCTGTGGATTTATTTCAATTGTCAAGAGTGTACTGTGCTAGTGTGATTGGTGTGTACTAGTGTACTCATGACAACAGCTCACAATCTGAACCATACATTTTATAAGTAGTGCATTAGAAGGTTGTAATAAGAATAAATCTTAGTCAAAATATGCATCTCAACATCTAATCAATGAAATATATAATGAACGGTTAAGACAGGCAAGTTCTAGGTTTTAAACAATACCAAACATGCCAAACATGTAAAAAATACCAACATCACATGTTGTCAAACAGGGTTCCCAGCTTTCAGGCTACCGATTTTCAGTTTCATCCTAGTTTCTAGGAAACTTAGCAACAAGGATTTTCCTGGGGAAATAGTACGAGAAAACTACAAGGTGAAAAGCAAACCAACGAATGCAAGCAAGAAAACGGATGAGTGTTAGTGCAACGGCTTTCGTGCTAATACTAGTTTGGCAAGGGAGGTCAAGGTTTCAAACTTTGGAGTCTGTCTGTCTCCTAGAAAAGAAAAAAGCTAACCTAAACATTTTCAGTATTCAAGCTTGGGAATGATTGCTTAAGGTGTTGATGGTTGCAACACTGCTTCCCATGTTAGAGTCCTACAAATGAACTGCCCCAACCGAAAAAAAGAATATAATGCCTTTTTTATTACCTTCCAAAGCGTGCAGCCCAATGAAGGGCCGTCCAACCATGTGCATCCCGGAAATTGATACCGACACCACACCGTAGAACAAGATTTAAAGCCCACTCATAGCCTAAGCCAGCTATCATATGAATTACTTCTTGATCTAGCTTTGATAGGGCTTCTCCTTCCTTGGATTTAGATTTTAGCCATTCCTCCAATTTCACCTTGGAAAATTCTTCCAAAAGCCAGTTCATGGTAAAGGAAGGTGTCGCATTTCCAGCTGAGATTGCAGCTGCCATCTGACTCCATGGACCACCAGGCATTTGCAACTTTTGTGAAAGTGCAGTCAATGAGTCTTCACTAGCTTCTTTCTCTTCTGACATCTGCACTTTCCCACAAATGAGCATTTGCCCAAACCTGAGAAGCAAAAGCAGTTCATCCCTGCTTCCGGGTTCCTCTGCTTGAGATTGACTATGCACAGGACCAATGTCTGGCTTAAAACGATATTCAAATTCCCTTACTTCACTGCAAGCTTCTCTGTTTCCACAAGTTATGCATAAAGTAACTTTTCCAGTTACATGAGGAGGAGCCTGGCATCGAAGGACCCCTGCATGAATAATTTCTGCAGGAACCTCAATGTCACGAAACATACAACACCAAGAAGACTTTGAAGGATCCTCTAGAAACTCTCCAATAATGAGAACCTGGATAAATTGCATAAAATTAAAATCTCTTACATTTTCCAACAGGCAAACAACTTTAGGTATCTAAGATATCTGACTTTCAACAAACCTAAAAAAAAGATGCAACATTATCAAAGTTATCAAAGATCTACCAAACTGTTGATTAAACTGATGAAAACACTACCATATGATGTAAATGTTTATTCAAATACATAGGCAAGTAACTGAAATATGCGACATATGGTGTCCAGCAACAGATAAGAAAGAAGACCCTGGCTATATAGTAGTATGCAAATGTTAGAAAGACATAACAGGTTTGATGCAAGTAGATCAAGTAGATCAAGTAGTATTTCTAACTCATTAAGCATGTGAGTTGGCTTCCATTTTGTGCCATACAAATAAAAGGAATCAGATATTTTGAATCAAAATAAAAACACAAGTCTGAAGTTAAAGCATTCTATAATTAGCGAATGATTAAAATTCGGAAGAATATAAAAATGCTAAAAAAATACACTAAAGAAATAGTAATGCTAAGCTTAAGGCATATGATGATTTATATGATAAATAGGGGACAAGAGAAGGAGCAAAATATGTCTTCAAACTAGAAAAAATAAGAGAGAAGAACTATAGGGATCTAGATCATACTAAATGCATTAAGATTGATGATCAAAAGGTCTTGGCGAAAGATGATTAGGTCAACAAAAGGAGTCGACTTTATTTTAAAAAATTGTTAAAAAATACTATGGGAGCACAACATTAAGATGAACCTTCTACATAAATAAAGTCAAAGGTTATAGATACATTCGCAGGATTAGTATATATAAAGAAGCCTTGAGAAAGACGAAGATAGGAAAGGCTTTAAGACTAGGTGGTATCCCGATAGTGGATTGGAAGTGCATGGGAGAGATTGGCAGATAGATGTTTGGAAATGCATGGGAGAGATTGGCATATTCTGACTGACCGAGTTGTTCAACAAAATGTCAAGAATGAAGGAAATGTTTGACGAATGGAGAAAAAATATTGTAGTACATATTTTATAGAACAAAGGAGACATACATAACTGTACGAACTATCAAGGGATTAAAATTATGAGCTACACTATGAAGTTGTGGGAGAGTGATTAAACGACTAAGACATGAAATGGGTGTATCAAAAAATGAGTTCGATTTTATGCGAAGAAGGTCAACAATTAAGGCTATTTTCCTACTTAAGCAACGGATTGAAGTTTACGGAGAAGGGAAGAATCCTTCTATTGGCCTTTATTAATTTAGAGAAAGCATATGGTAGGGTACTTCGAGAGTTAATTTGGTAAGTGTTAAAAAGAAATGAGTCTCTAGAGGATATATTGACATGGTGAGAGATATGCACGAGAAACCGCTAACTAGTATGGAGACAGCTAGTAGAGAAACTAGTAAGTTTTGCAGTGAAAGCGGACCTACATCAGGGTCATAGTTGAACCCATATCTCCTGGTTTCGGTTATGGACGAGTTAACTAGGAATCTACAAGATAAGGTACCGTGGTATATCTTGTTCGTGGATGACATAGTTTTGATTGATGAGATTAGAGGTTGAGTAAACGCAAAGTTTGAACTTTCGAGGCATGGTCTAGAATCTAAAGGTTTTAAATTAGTCGGACCAAGACAGAGTATATGAATATACGTTTAGTACTAATAGGAGTAGAAATGAGGAAGCAGTAGATTGATAGCCAAGAAATAGCTAAACAAGATTACTTTCGATATCTTGAGTTGATAATTGCAGAGAATGGAGAGATTGAGGAAGATGTCGGACATAGGGTTGTCACGGGCCAGGTTAAGGCCCACCCGAGCCCCACCCCAAAAAATTTCAAACAAGATTTTGTCGCCCGATCCAGACCAGCCAAAAAATATATTTTTCAGGCTTGGCGCCGACCCTACTAGGAATCTTTCTTGTAGCTTGGGCCCGATATGGCCCAGCCCAAAACTTATTTAACCTCAAGAAAAGGGCAACTGGGGAGAAGAAATAGTGGCATGTGGGCGCGAAAAGAGATAGAGAGAGGACACGTGGCTCTCTCTTTTCCTCCCCGACCCACTGCCTCTTCTCTCTTTTCCTAACCCCCCACTCACCACCTCTCTCTCTTTCTCTCTCTCTCTTCCTAACCCCCCGCTCAGTGCCTCGTCTCTCTCTCTTCCTCCCCCATCCACCCACCACCTCTTCTTTCTCTCCTTTGACCCACCACCCCTCTCTCTTTCTCTCCATCTCCACCCGCTCTCTCTCCATATGTACCCTCTCTGTCCACCTGGTTTCTCTTTCTTAAACTCCCCTAACATTGCCGACACTGTGACACCACCTCTCTCTACCACCAAATCTCCCATTCCTGACAGCCCCCAAATTCAAATTCCTCACCACATCCTCCACCCGTCTTTTATGCTCATACATCAAAGAGCATGTCGTTATGCGGAGGAGTTGGAGAAACATGAAGGGTCGCAAATTAGAGCTACTTAGCTTATTTGGGGTTGGATATTCCGGTCAAATTCACGAGGAAGAGGCTTATTTGGATGGAAAATGGAGATGCATGCCAAAAAATCGGTGGGTTGGTTGGAAAAGTTGGGGGTTGTTTTAATGTTAAGAGAGAAGAGAACTTGGGGATTGTTTTGGTTTGTGTGTGTTCCCCTTGTTTTGATTTCGCTTTTGATGTGGAAGTTGGGGTTTTTGTGTGATTGCTTGATTTGATGTTTTCCAAAGGAAACGACTAAAAAGTGAATGAATGAGATGATTGGGTGGATGCGGAGAGAGAGTAGGGCGGGGAGGGGATGGAGATGGATACACACATAGGTGGGTCAAAGGAGAGAGAGAGAGAGAGAGAACAAACCTAGAGAGAATAACAGACCAATGCTTTCAGGCTGTGAGAGAGGAAATAGGGGATATAATGTTTGGGCCCGAAGAAAGAGGGGGTGGAGATGAAGAGAGAGGGCTGTGGATATAAAAAGAGACAGGGGGTGGAGATGGAGAGCGAGAGAGGTGTGGAGATGAAGAGACAAGGGGTGGAGATGGAGAAAGAGAGGGGGGGTAGGGGGTGGAGATGGAGAGGGAGAGAGCGATGGTGGTTAGAGGAGAGAGAGAGACCCAAAGAAAGAATATTAAACCAAGGCTTTTGGGCTTTGAGAGAGAGAAGAAGGGGATATAATGTTTAAGCTTTCAGGACGAGTTTGGGCCAATCACTATTTCGCCGAACCCAGCCAAAAAATACCAGGGAATTTACTTACCCAGCCCGAGCCTAGCCCAAAGCCCAAAAAGCAAGCCCAAACCCCACCTGAAATCCGAGCGCGACCAGAAAGCCCATGGCCTGGCCCTGCCGGAACCACTGCCACTCCTAGTCACACATAGTAAGCACTGGGTGGGCAAGGTGGAGATGTGCATATAGAATTTTATGTGATCATCGCATACCAATGAAATCGAAGAGGAAGCTCTATAGGACGGTTGTAAAACCAACCATGCTTTATGGGACGCAATGTTGGGCGGTCAAGAAAACAACAGAACCATAGGATGAATGTAGCTAAGATGAGGATATTGAGATGGATGAATGGCACGACAAGCAAGGATAGAACTCGAAAAGAATACATCCAAGGGAACTTAATGGTGGCTCCAATGGGCAATAAAATGACAAAAAGTACACTTAGGTGCGTTGGCCATGTGCAATATAGATCTAATACAGTACCGGTTAGGAGGGGCAATTTAGTTCAAGTGAAACGCTCTAAAAGGGCAAGGGGAAAGCTAAAAAGGTTATGGATGCCATGAGAAGAAGATATTGTGTCTTATAGTCTGACAGAGGGTATGGTCCGCCCTTGATAGAGCAGAATGGCTGAACACGATTCATGTAGTTAGCTCCAAATAGTTGGGATAAGGTTCAGATGATGATATTTTGATAACCGGCATTTATGGGCCCAAGAAGGTTGGAAGGCACAAAATAGGGAATTCTTACTATCAATAAAGTCTCATTGTGACAAAGAAGCTAAATCTTCTGAGCTTTAACTTAGGTACAACATGTTTCTGAACTGGATTCTCCACCACCAATCAAAAAATACTACATTTGAAAGGAGACGAGGTGCAAACAAATTTTATCCAAAGTTTACACTTTTTTTGGAGTGCAAAAAGGAGCCATGCGTTAGGAATGCTATAAAATAGTTGCAAGTGTATAAGGAACTGCATATAGAAGGCTGCATTCCCCAACAGATTGCAGTCAACACTTTCCAGTCTCTCACTATTGGGTTTTTTGTCAACTATAAAAAATCATATTTCAGATAGAGTGATCGATTAACACTTCCTCTAAACGGTTCATGTGGCATCTCATGTCAAGTGCATATGGATTCTAACTACAATTTTGCAGCTGGCAAAATCTGAAGGGCAGAAGCCACCCAGAGTGGTTTTTGTCATGTGTGTAATGGATTTTGTCTCAATTTAGTTAGGGAAGAAAAAACATTGAGTGGTCTGATATGATGTTCCTGGAAGATCAAGATGTACTTCAGGACTTTAAGCAGTGGACGAGGAACTTCCATTGCAGATATTATGAGTCACGTGACAACACAACCAAACTGTCATTTTACTGTAGTACAAGTCATTGATGAATAGTGATACAGAATCAAACAGCATAGAATTTGACATTCCCAAGCATCCAATGAAAGAAAATTTGACTTCAAGTTCAAACAAAAAAGAGTATTCAATTCAACTAGCATGAAATAATGAAAAAAAAAAATAGAAGAAAAAAAGACGACCTTTCCTTAACGATGGAAGAATTTTAATGTAGAAATTTTTTCCAGAAAAAGGTGAGGTTCTCCTAACTCTAAAATACAGAAAGTTAAATGCATCACACTTGTACCTTTGAACCTTCAGTAGAATATGCCCACTCTGGGGATATCTCATGGATTTTAAAGCGTTGTACTGCTGCAACCGTCAGACCTGAACTGGCATCACTTAATAAAGTTTCAAGATATCTTTCCTGGCTAAACCATGGAGGAACTTCAGAAGAATATGTAGTGTTACAAGCTATCTCTGTGCTATCCATCCAAGCAAAGCCGTCTGACTTCCCAAGTATGTCCATGCTAGAGTTGGATTGGCTAACATTTGATTCTGATGAGTTCGAAGTGTACTTAGGCTGTCCAACTTGGGGAAGAACAGCTTCACTTGTTGATGAGATGTGATCATCAGGGCCAAACAAGATTTCATTTGCAGCAGCAATAAGATTTTGAGTTTCAATATTTCCGAAAACTACAGAAGAACAAGTTGTTTGGGTCGCATTCTTGCCTGGGTCATCAGCCAGCTGCCATGAGAAATCTGTTCCCTCTTTTGCCTGATCCATTAATATCTTTGGCAATTCAGAAGAATATAGCGGCATCTCCTGTATATTGATTTTAAAATATCATTAGGGGTAAAAACAAATATCATTAGAATGGAAAGCCAGTTATGTTCATTGATATTTCAAACAAAAAAACTTGTTTCCAAAAGCATAAAATGACATGCACAAATTGCACACTAAAATTCAGAGGAAATGAACTCAAGATAGATATACTAGACTGCCAAATGCAACAGAAAAAGTTTATATAGAGCCGAGGCTCTAAACCATCAAATTAGAGCCCGCCTCAAAAATTTCACAAGAAGAGGGTTTTTTTATGCCCAAATATCCTCAAATTGATCATCTCGACATCAAGATGCATGGACATGAGAAAAAAATGGATTTTAAGTTTTGGAAATAGTGCATCTTGTAACGTATTATTGGACCATCAATTTTCAAGATTTTAAAGTTTTAACGGATCTGCTCGATCTACACTATTTTTAAGCTTTAAATTTTATAATTAAAAATGAAAATATATTTTAAGGCTATCACAAAGATTTCCAGTAATGAAACCACATTTGTTAACACTATTTGAAGGTGTGCTTTAGTTTGATTGTTTAGAGCCTCAGCTCTATACAAACTGCACCCAATGCAATATCCCCAGGAACAATCACTTTCGTCCAATTGTCCATTGCTAGCATAATATATGAAGCCAAAAAGGCTATAAGCAAAGCAAAGAGAAATAAGAAAATAAACATAAATTTGATGCATAACACAATTTTGGGTGATTGAAGCCTATTCAGGACTTTCATCTGTTAACTGGATACCAACACAAGAAATAGAGTTACAAACAAACACCATGATAATAACCCAAACCAATTTTAAGAACAATCATGAAAAACTGAACCTACAAGAGTTATGCAATTTGGAAACAGAATTTAGATGATGTGTGGAAAAGTAAAGATCTGTTTACATTCTTCTTGTGAGATCCCAAATTTTAGACAGCACACAACTATTTTTGTGTTATTCATGCCATATAGCAGAATTCCTCTCTGTCTACCAGAAACATGTTACAAGATATTATGAATTACAAGCTAGAAGATGATAACTTTAACTGATTGTGTGAACAAAAGTAGTATTTTTTTATTTTGTCCGGCTGGGTGAGGAAAACCAAATATTTGAACCAATTCAATGCAATTTAACTGTAGGATTTAAATGGTGATAATAAAGATAAAAAAAGCTTACATTCTCTAGGATTTTATGAAATCCAGTAGGAACCGCTGCATCAATTTTGTCAACCAGATAGTAATTGGTCCTGTTCATAGACAACTGGGGAAAACTTGGTATAGGCAGTGTGGCAGAGCCAACTGACTGGAAATTTGTCCCAGTTGTATTCCAAGTTGGCAATCCTGGCGTTTCAGTTGAATGTTGTGCAACCAATGATTGAGAAGGTTGTGGTCCAGGAAATTCACCTATAAGAAAGTTCGAGATGAATATCATCAATATCAGGTTTGACAAGAAAAATATCATCCTTTTGTAATATATTTATAAACAAAAACGAGATGAAGACCATCAATATCAGTTTTGACAAGAAAAATATCATCTTTTTATAATATATTTATAAACAAAAGGAAAAACAAGTTTGCAACATAAGCAAAATTGCATAATAAACCATGGTGGCATGGGCACAGGTTTGAAGTAATTAAATGGGTTGAATGGGACTATTATGTCAAAAGAGGGAATCAATTTATAATAGTTTAGAGTCGCAATCCTGTAGAATGAAAACAAACATGTAGAACTTACAAAGAGCACTACAACATTTGTTCACATTTTAAGTTACTTAATGGTCCATGTATTACCCAGAAATACGAGTATGAAACTGACCACTGTTCAACAGGGAATTTCTGTTCAATCCATCAACTGGTTGTTTCCCAGTGTTTAAATGTTGACTGTATTCCCATTGTTCCCTTTCCGATGGTGGCAAATTCATGATGCCATCTTGGTCGGTATTTCCTCCTTCATATGCTGATTGGTTTCGACCATGACAGGTATCATTGTCACTGAAGTTTGAAGGGAGGTTCTCCAGGAAGTACAAAGAGTTATCATCAGCATTATCCACGCTTAATTGTAAAGCAATCTTCCTCAATGTTTGATTAACCTCTGCATTTGCAGAATTATCATCATAAAGATTTGTTCCTTCAGTTCCCGTGAGTGTATGAGAGCTAACTTCTTCCCCAGATCCAGGACTAAATGAACTCCATGAAGGATTATATACTTCACTGCTGCCAGGGTTAGGACCCAGATTTTGAGCATTAAAAATATCAGCTTGCTGAGCTGGGAATCTAAAAGCATCAGATCTCGATGTAGAGTTACTCCTCCCCTGCAGAAAGGTGCTACCATTAATCTCAGGCAGAAATGTGTACAATCATATGAACAGAAGCCAAACTAACTCAACATGGATATGCAACAATGATTTAGAAAAAGGTGCAATACGGATTTTGGTCTCCAGCCGGTGCTTACTTTTTCAGCTTAGATACAATGAAGTTTAAAAAAAAAAAATTCATTTGATCAGTAAGAATTTAAGAAGCTTAAATTGGGAGGACCCTAGATTCACAGGGGACTATTGAGAAATTCCAAAATGTGTGGCAATGATATTATTAAAAAGTTAACCAGAAAATATTGTCAGATACTAATATTATATCTATGCTTCTATATGTGCCTTAGATTTTGATCCCCAAATGCCCTTATATATTTCTTGATACTCTTTTAAATTTTCAAAAACTTAGGATAGGAATTACTTAAGATTAGCACTTTTTGGGAATACAGCTCAAATATCTTTTCAACATCATCTTCATGAGGATACAAATTTGAACTATATTTTTCACAAGAAGCAATTTGAACTATTATCAGAAGAGGTGATGTGATTTCCTATTAACAATTACATTTTTTTTTTCTCTGTTTACCTAAAAGCCTTCCTGGACTGCCTGAAGGGCTCTTTCTAGTCCGTTACTTGGGACTGCGTCGGTCCTCTAAGGGAAAGTATCGCTACGGTACATTTATGGACTGTATTAGTAAAATAGTGGTAATCATCTTTTCAATACCTGTTTGATAAACAACTACTTCTGAAAGCTCTCTCTATTTTCAGAAAACTTTCACAAATATTATTACAGCCAATTTATTTTTCTTAAGACTTACTTTCAAAGACTAGACCCTTATAAATTAACACATAGTCTAAATATATGATGGAGGAAATTTATACTTATTTTTAATTTTATTCGGTTTTAAAGGATACATATTTTGATTTTAGTTTTAGGGTTTAATTCTAGGGATTTTTAATTTCTAGGAATTCTAAGGACTTTTTTAGATATTTTAATTAAAGTTAGGGATTTTAGTTTCAAGTTATGCTTAAGTTAGCCTTTTGGTCAAAAGTTAATTGTATGGACAAATATTGTTTAAAACAATAATTTTTTATTATAAATAAGGGCGTTGATGGGCTAGAGAGGCATTCATGTATTCTTTTTTAAGAAAAGAAATACCTTGTCTTGTAAAAGAAGCCTAAGGCTTGAGCCCTAGGTGGGAAAAAGCCTTAGGGTTTATCCAAAATTGCTTGTATTTGGCTTGTTTCTTGCTAATTTTACCTCAACTTTCTCAGCATCAAGTAGTATCAAAGCCCGCGATCTACACAGAAGCTACTATAGCACGTACGAAGGGTACTGTAGCACATACAGAGTTACTGTAGCACCACTTTTTTGGGTGCCTTAGGTCAACAACAAAGAAGGAAAGTTATAGTGAGGTCTAGGATTTGCCAAATTTGGCCAAAGTTTTGCCAAAACAACCTAGATCTTGCTGATTTCAACATTTTTGTTGATTATTTGCCTAGGGTTTGTGATTTCGATAAACCTATGGCAGCGAGAAGGGGCCTTAGAAGGGGGATTTTGGTAGATCTGCTTTGTGATCCACAGATGACAGAATTAAGGAAGATGAAAGGCAAGTTCAGCAGCTGGCTCAGCAGTTCGCGAGACTAAAAAATGGGCAAGACGGTGATCTTTTAGTCCCAGAAGATCTCAAGTACATGCCTTTTCACTTTCGCGCTCCACATGTGAAGTCAGGCGATGAGGATAATGACAGAAGACCTAGATGTGGGGATTATCACTCTAGGGTTTCGATTTGAAGAATGATTTTTTTTTTATTTTGACACAGATTGCATGAAAGTCGACAAGTTGTTGATTGGAATTCACCACCAATCTTCGATATATACTCAGATGAACAACAAGATTTCTTAGGAGATTTGATCTATGATAAGGATCAAGATGATGGTGAAGATATTTAGGAAATGGGGGAAGAATATGGAGAGAAGGCAGCAGGAGGACTGATCAAAACCATGCCCTCATCAATATTGAAGAGGTGGAGAATTCAACAAATTTAGGGCATTGGAATCAGAGTAGGGCAGTGAAAGTGTGGTCGTCTCAATCGCAAATTATGACCCTGATTTCATAAAGTAATCAAATACATGTTGAGAAAACCTCTAAAGGCCAGAAAATTGAGTTTGGAGTATCTTACATGATTTCCAATGGGAGTTCACGAATAATTAAATTTGATAAATTTTCATGGATTCCTCAATATACATATCAAAATCCATTTCTTGAGGAATTATCTTTACCACGAATAGTATTTGAGCCAACAACGAAAAAGAAGGTTGAAGAAGGTGTTTTTGATACTGAATTCATCTTAGCACACTTCAAAATTGAAGGACGGGTTTTCTCCAATAAGGGGAGAATGATGGAGCAAAAAATTATACGTGTTTTTATTTCTATTCCATTTTAAGGATGCATATTTTGATTTTAGTTTTAGGGTTTAATATTCTAGGGTTTTTTAGTTTCTAGGAATTTTAGGGACTTTTTAGATATTTTAATTATAGTCAGGGAGTTTAGTATCAAGTTATGCATAAGATAGGACCTTTTTGGTCAAAAGTTAATTGTATGGACAAATATTGTCTAAAACAATAATTTTCTATTGTAAATAAGGGTAGGGATGGGCTAGAGAGGTATACATGTATTCCTCTTTAAATATTCATGTATTCCTATTTAAGAAAAAGAAAGACTTTGACTTGTAAAATAAGCCTAAGGCTTGAGACCTAGGTGGGAGAAAGCCTTAGAGTTTCTCCAAAATTTCTTGTATTTGGCTTGTTTCTTGCTAATTTTATTATTACCTCAATTTTCCCTGCATCAAATATTTTCCGTGCATCAATATGAGGCAAAAGTTTGTACATTTTTAGCAGAATTATTTCACTCTAATTATTGCTTCTTTTGAGATATTTTCGGTTTTAAAATTTATCTTGGGCAGGGGTACCTTCATAAGCTTCATCTAAACAGATCATGGCCCTGAGTAATAGATTTTTACCTCCTTTTATATGTTATTACTTCTACTATTCACATGTTCTAGATTTAAACCTTTGGAATAATGACTAAGTTGGCACATCTTTCAAGTTAGAAGTATACTTTGGATGCAGGAAATATTTAGCTCTGCTTCTAAGAACTTATCTTTTACCTTTTTCTATTTCATAAAGTCGCACACATTTCATATATAATATTACCATTTTCTTAGGATTAGTATCATAGATTTTCTCACGCCTCGGCATTGGTGATGAATGCATAAAAAGTAAGATTTTGAAGGTGAAGAATTTTGTGAATGAGGCAAGGGGAGGGGCCCAATGGTGCAGCTTAGTGGGGTCCAAATATATTATCGAGTATAATTCATCTAAAAATAAGGATGAGAAAATTATTAGAAGTAAAAAATGTCCCAAAAAAAAAAACCTCTACTAATTGAGAATACATCTTCAAGCACACCCATGCATGCAGTGTTGCAATCTAGCATTAGCCACAATGGCATGAAGAACTCGAAGAATATATACGTTATGACAATTATATGTTATAGTATTTAACATATAGTTGTGCATCCTAATGTTTACTAGGATCACTTACCGTAACCACATTTGATAAAGACACTTATAAGAGAAACATCGTGGAGAAAGGCTGTAAATGAACAAACTTTACGATCCAAATATTCATGCCAAATAGTTACTTAAAATTATTATGACTACAAGCATACCTCTGTAACGTCCCGATAATGAACAAGGACAATAGGTTCATATGCCCTGCCAAAAAGAACAAAAGATGTCACCCTTTATACCAACCTAAAGAAAGAATCCTTGTGTCTATTGTTGCATGCAATAGTAACAATTTGATCCAAAACCCCTACAACAATCAAAAGGACTAGACATGCGCTTAAAGCATTGAAAATCATAATGACACCACGAAAAAAGAAACAGCGAAGTCCATAGTAAATGAGCTGGAGATACAATGTACGTAAGCAATAACAGGAATATTAATGTGATAGCTGATAACTTTCAATGCAATAACTTGAACTTCACTTGGTGAGGGTAAGAGACCCTTTCCTAGCAATGTGACAAAAAAGAACATTAATATCGAATCTTTTGTTTTGTTTTTTTTGTGTTTTTTGTTTTTTTGTGTGGGGTGGTGGTTGGAGTATTCTATCATGCCCAATGTTCAAAACGTTAGCCGCTCGGCCACCTACGCTGCTAGAAAGCCAAAGCGCCTAGACATGGCCTGGGTGGGGTACCTAGGTGCGATGCGTCTAGGCACCCACCTAGGCGGCACCTCGAGACTGGTAGGCAGGGTAGCAAGGCGCACGTGTCATGCATCTAGGCACCGGCCAAGGCAGTGCCTTGAGACAGGGTGGCCGAGAGCCAAAAAAGGTCCTCAGCCATAGGCATTTTTGGGTTTTTCCCTCCAAAGGGAGGGGGGGAAGGTTCTGGGGAGCATTCTTGTTCCCCAAAACCCCTCTTGTGTAAGTCAGACAAGGAAAAGCTCTGAAAAACTTAGGATTTGAGATTTTTCTAATGATCGAAAAAAATTTCAAATTTCTTACAAAATCAAAAGAAAAACTTTTTGATACATTTGGAAGCTTCATTTGGGAGATTGGATTGGTCGTACAAGAGGATTTTTGGCAACCAAAGATTTTCACTTTGAAATGGTTATTGCATTGAAATTTTTTCTTTTTTGTATAATGTATTATGATGTGAATCATTTTACATTTTTTTTCATTTCTTTTGTGATATTTTATATGCTTGTAATTGAAAACTTGAAATATTTTGTGAAATATTTCCCTTTTTGGACTATGGACTTATATCGAATTTATTTTTGAAAGCTTGGTGCAATGTGTTATTTCTGTTCTTGGTGCAATGTGTTAGTTTTGTTTTTCTTTTTTTTGTTGTTTTATATATGGTTGTAGATGGAATATTTTGTGAGCATTTACATGTTTGGGCTTATATTTTGTGAATAGTTCAAAACTTCAAATTAAATTGATATTTTGTAAATAGTTCAAAACTTCAAATTAAATTGATATTTTGTGAATATTTAGACCAAATCTTATGGATATTATGTTATGTGATATTATGGGCAAAAGACATAAACCCCCTCTCGAACAGCAGAATCCAAAATAACCCCTTGTTCTTATAAACATCCCATGCAACCCCGGAGTTAAACAAAAAAAGACATTTAACCCCCTCCTTACCTTTTCCATTGTCCAAATTACATAATTTGCCCTTCTTTTTTCCTTAACCACCATGTTATCTAAGTCCTGGAAAAGTTCTCCTTCTCTTTCTCTTTCTTCCTCACCCATGGACCCCTTCCTCCCTCTCTCTCTCTCTCTAGCAACCTTAGCTGAAAACTTATTTCTCTCTCATCTCGTGAACCTCACAAGTAAGTTAAAAGGGGCATTACGAACTCGATGTTTATGACGATGTTATTAGGAAAAAGAAGAAGGGTAAATTCTGTAATTTGAACAATAAAAAAGTTCCAGTGGGGGTTAAATGTCCCTTTTTTTGTTTAACTTAGGGTTCCATGTTTATGACAAGGGGTTATTTGGGATTATAATTTTAGAGACGCGAGTTTATGCTTTTTTCCCTTCTTTTTTTTTTTACATATTTTGATTGGTTTCCAATTTCTCTCAACATATTTTTAGTGGTCAGTCCTAATGTGTTTTGTTTACTTCATATTCTTCATTTAAGACTTGAATCTTCTTATTTTTTCCTTAATACTTTCATAGTTGTGTATTTTTCAGGTTTGTTCATTAGGTGATACTCTGTGAATTACTGTGACTTTGTTAGTTGTGCTGTAAGTTGTGAGTTGTGAGTCGTGACAATGCCTTCAACTGGATCAAGTAAGCAAAATGATCTAGATTCGAAGTAAGAAACTTGTCCAAATCCCCTTAACAAGCATAGGGTGGAGTTTATTGCCAAAAATCATATAATGTCAGCATTAACACATCGAATAAATATTTAGCTGGTGTCAGAAGGGATGCAGCCGCATGCACGCAAGTTCTAGCTGAGGAGGAGAGAGATGTCAAAGCACTTTGAGGGGGTTAAAAATAAGAAAGAGGAGGTAAAGAAAAGACATGAAGTAACTGTCTGAAGTCTATATATATTTCAAGTTTAGGAAGAGGAAGAAGATATATATGCCAAGGTTGGATCTTCTAATAGCCCATCCATGCATAGATGTCTCGAAGAAGATGGTCTATGGATTCTTACACCCCACCCCCGATCCGAGGATTTTACCATGTAAAAGGGTCCAAACAAGTTTAAAGAGCCACTTAAAAAAAGAGAATAGAAATAAGATAGCTCCAACATTTTAAAAAACGGATCAGTGACCCATATCGGCCCTCCAAATTTTTGATCCAGTTAAGCAAATCGAAGAACCAGATCAGTGATCTAGTCTACCAGCGCGGATGGTTTTGACTGGTTCTAATTGACCGCTTCAGTGATTAATAAAAAAAAAAAATTTAAAAAGAGGTGGAGCCGGTTCATACTTATTCTCTTAAAGAACCGAGTCAGTTTTGTCAAGGAACCAGCCAGAACCATCCAGTTCATGGGGGAACCAACCAATTCCTGACATTTTACAGGGTCCGATTTCCAATCCGGACTGGCCGGTTCCGATCTGGATGACAAATTTTTTAAACCCTGGTTAGCACAATATGTGGCCAGATTGTTATACCAAGTAATTATTTCTTTTAATGCAGCTAACTTGGAAAGCTTTCGGACTATGTTGGAAGCAGTGGGCCAATTTGGTTTTATACTAGGAAGGTCAACAATTGAAGTTATTTTCCTACTTAGGCAACTGACTAAGAAGTTTAGAGTGAAGGAAAAACATCTCCATATGGTTTTTATGATCTAGAGAAAGCTTATGATAGAGTACCTCAAGATTTAATTTAGTAGGCGTTGGAAAAGAAAGGAGTCTCCAAATAGAAGTCCGGATAGTGAGAGATATAGAGGGAGCACTAACTAGTGTGCAAACAACTAGTGGACGGAAGAATGAGTTTTTAGTGACAATAGTTCCACATCTTAGTTATGAACGACTTAACTAGGCACCTACAAGATGAGGAACCGTGGCGTATGTTGTTCGTCGATGACATAGTTTTGATTGATAAGACTCGATGCGGCTTCAACACAAAGTTAGAACTTTCGAGGGACGCTCTAGATTAAAGGTTTTAAAATTAGCTGGACTTAGACAAAGTATATAGAACGAGAGTTTAATAATAGCCGGAGTAGAAACGAGAAAGTAGTTAAGATTGACGGCCAAGAAATTCCAAAAAAAGCACAATGTCGATATCTTGGGTTGATAATCTAGGACAATGGAGAGATTGAAGAAGATGTCGCACATAGAATTAGAATTGGATGGGCGAAGCAGAGATCTGCAACCGAAGTTTTCATAAAATTCAATGGCAAGTTCTATAGGACAGTTGTGAGACCAACTTTTCTTTATGGGGCAAAATGTTGAGCAGTTAAAAAACATCATACTCCTAAGATGGACGTAGTTGTATAAGGATGTTGAGATGGATGAGTGGCAAGACAAGGAAGGATAGAATTTGAAATGAATACATTCGGAAGAACTTAGGTGTCGCTCCAATACGCGATAAGATGAGAGAAAGTAGACTTAGATGGGCTGGTCATGTACACCGCAGATCTAACACAACACCTATTAAGAGGTGCAAGTTAGTTCAAGTGCAAGGCTCAAAAAGGACAAGGGGTAAGCCTAAAAGGACATGGTTGGAAGTAGTGAGAAAAGATATGGGGACTTATGGCCTCACTGAGGATATGACCCTTGATAGAGCAGAATGGTAGACTGGGATTCGTGAAACTGACCCCAAATAGTTGGGAAAAGGCTCTTATGATGATGATAATCATGATATATATATATATAGAAGCATCTACGCAACGCCTATGGGCGAAAATGAATAGTGTTTTCGCCTATAAGCTCATCACCGTCCGAAAAAATCAGGCAGTGTGCGTTTTTGGACCGCCACGAACCTAGCATGTCTGTGGCGGTCAAAAAATCACACGGAACTACATCAGACAGCGCGTTCATTCAATAAACCGCCACAGACATAGCAAGTCCGTGGCGGTGACGAAACACTGTAGCATTTCACCTATAGGCGTTTTTAAGTTTTCATATATATATATATATGGGAGTAACTCTCATATGTCCAAGGGTTGATGCAATATGGTACGCCCTATGGTGCAGATTGAATCTAGGTCAATCTGACGATCACGATTGCATTTCATATATATATATATATATGATACGCCCTATGGTGCAGATTGAATCTAGGTCAATCTGACGATCACGATTACATTTTATATATATATATATATATATGGCAAAGTATATAATGAGACCATTTACTTTTAGTACAGGGTGGTCACAATTAATCTTGACCATTGGATGTGAAATTGAGTTGCTGCATTTATTTCAATGACCCAGCTCAAAGTTCAAAAGCAATTTTTTTAAACTTTGTGACACACCCAAGCTATCAGATTTCACATCAAATGGTTCCCTTTTCTCATTCAGGTGAACCTAATAAAAAGATTAAACACAATCCACAAAAAATAAATTGACCAAAATACCCTAAAAATTTCAGGGGCATTATGGTCAACTCATCTTTTTAAATTACTATCTAATTTTTTTATTAGGTGTGTCGATTTTTCAATATTAGATGCTCAAAATTTCAAATAATTTGGATTTGTATAAAAAACTAAAATTCAAAGACGAAACAAAAATTGTGGCCATCCGATCAAAG